GTTTTGTTCTTAAGGCATGGAACAATTCCTGGCTATTATTATGTTGTCCGATATCTGTCTCCCAGCAACAAAGGCTGACTGGGTTTTAGAAATCCTATCTGGAAGGACCTTTTTTAGTCTTTGACATAAGACCTTGGAGATAATCTTGTAGCAAACGTTACAAAGGCTAACGGGTCGTAGTTGACTCATCTGGTTTGGCTTGTCGACTTTTGGGATAAGGCATATATTAGTATCATTTAGACCAGTCGGAATAGTCCCTTGGAATAAGAATTCGTTAACCATACGAGTTAAATCATCCTTAACGATATCCCAAAAATTTTGATAGAACAAAGCTGTCATTCCGTCAGGTCCAGAAGCTTTCTCAGGGTGCATAGCAAAGAGAGCTAATTTAACTTTCCATTCTGAAACCGGAGCTGTGAGACCCTCATTATCTGCTGGCGTAATTGTAGTGGTAACTTCTGAAAGTGCCTCCTCAATCTCCTCAGGGTTCGATGATTGGAAGATTTGGCGAAAATAACTAGTAGCAATGGCTACCAGGCATTCCTCATCTTCCACAACATTCCCATATGCATCTAATAGCTGGGTTATCCTGTTCCTCACTCTTCGCTGCTTCGTTAAAGCATGGAAAAATTTAGTGTTTCGATCTCCCTCCCTTAACCAGAATACCCTACACTTCTGCATCTAGAATAATTCCTCCGCCTTAAGGGCATCAGACAATTCTTTTAAAGCCGCCACTATCTCCTCTGTAGTGGCATCATCATTGGAGGACAATCGATCCACCTTTTCTTTTAACTCCTCTACACTTTTCTCTGAATTCAGATTATATTGCCTTTTCCAATCACATAACGCTCGCCTGCAGCTCGTAATATTTTCCATAATACTTGCATCCGGTGGTAGATCTGGTGGTTTCCATCCTTCAAGTATAATCTGTCTTAGTTCCTCATTCTGAAGCCATCGCTTATCAAATTTAAAGTTTTTCGATCTCCGTGGCTTCTTCTTAAGAATGTCTGCCAGGATTGGACGATGATCCGAACCCCAAAGCCTCAGATACTGCACTTTAGAATGAGGAAACTTCTCATGCCAATTCTCATTCCCCACAGTCCTATTAAGTCGACATCTAACGGTAGCATTTCCTGCTCTCCTTCCTACCCATGAAAGCATGTTTCCTGTGAAAGGGAAATCCAGCATACCACAATCACTGAGCATCTGCTTAAAAGGCAAGAAAGAGCTATATGTGCGTTGTCTGTCTCCTTCCTTCTCTTCATGACAAGTAATTTCATTAAAATCACCAATTATAAACCAGGGTCCATTTCTTGTTGTTGAGAAACGCGTAAGACATTCCCAAACTAAATCTCTTCTTTCTACTACAGGATCCCCATAAACAAATGTCATATAGACTTTTATTCCATCAATGACTGCCTCAGTGTCAATCATTCTATTATTCGAAAATAAAATCTTAACTTGAAAATCATCCATAAAAAATAAAGCTAAACCACCGATGAGTCCATGCGGCTCAACGGTAAACAAACGATCATATCCTAAGTCGGCCTGAATGTCTTGCAACAACAGCCTCCTGTTCTTAGTTTCAGAAAGGAACACTAGTCATGGGCGATGCTTCTGACACATCTCCGTAAGGCGTCGAACTGTGAGGTCAGTTCCAATCCCTCGACAGTTCCAACTGAGTGTCTTCATGTCAGAAAGTGGGATGGGTTTTTGGATCCCACTGAACCACTTGCTTTGCTTGACTTTGACTGATCCTCTCTAGCATTATGGCTAAGATGTTTTGGTTTAGCCTTCTCCCCAGTGGGCTTCTGAGTAGCAGAACTTAGGACTCGCAATCGTGGAGATCCCCGACGAAGGACCTCTTTCTTCCTAGGAGTGCGCCTGTTTATTTCTTAGCTCCTTTCAAATTTCTTGAGCTTCTTTCTTTCTCAACTTGGCGTGAGATATGTTGTGTCACAGGTGCCTCCAAGTCCATGAGTTCCTCATCAAATAGATCATCCTCCGCATCCATTCTTTCTTCCACCTCTTGTGATACAGGTCCCATATCAGATAAAGCCTCAATTACTCGTGCATCATCATCTTCAGGCTCAGCAATATCAGTGTAATATCTCAAAGAACGCATCACACTTTTGGACGAACCGTCACATTATCCTGCATATTTGGAGATGTAATCTTGCTGGCTAGCCTTTTTTCTGTGGATTCACATATATCCATTGCTCGACAAGGCTTCCTCTTCCA